CACACAATATAGCTAGATTAAATAATTTTAGTATGTTGAACAATAATTGAATTATTTTTATATTTTAGATCTGGGTAGCACTTTCCCAATTATATTGCAAAATGTAAGTACAAAAAGGAGTTAAAAATTGAGAATTCACACGTATCTCTGAGTGTGCGGAAGACAAGCAACAAACAGAGTTATTCACTAAAGGGAGAATTCAGAATGAATTTAAAGATACTTTCAAATTTAAGGCCAGAGTAGTCAAACTGATAGCCTAACTGACTTTTTCCATTTAAACTATGTTGACCTTAAAGTTGAAATTCTCTCTGAATTCACCCTGAATTCTCACATTAGTGAATAACCCTTAAGGTGTTATATGTAGTGAAACACTTGGTTATGAGACATTGAATATAAGCATATTTAATAAGCATTCAAACACCTAAACACAATAGGTGCAAACTGCAACATGGAATTAACCTACAAACTTGAAACAAGTTTTTTTTTTTCTTTACACATTTTTTACAAGTTAAATATATGTCAGGTTCGGCTGTGTCAGTCTCTGGCTTGATGGGAGCTTACTGCAGAATATGTAAAGAATGATTATTTGCGGTAAATGCAAGATCTTAAAATGTAAGTATCTTTTTTTTAAATAATATTTTAAATTTGAAAGCATTTGGAAATGTACATATAGTAGATTTGGTAAGTATGACCAAGAATGAAAAAGTATAGTAAAAGACTTTCCAATTAATGTTTGCAATGCAAGCAATACATGTTATAAAACCATACACATGGACATCTACCTGTAAGCACTAAAGTCTAGCTATGAGCACTGTGTATGTCATTTTCAGTTAATACCTGTGAAATTTGCAAGTCAGGTATATGGAAACACTTCTCAGATGATCACAGATGAAATGTAAATAAGACGAGTAAACCTTTTATAGTCCAGGGGGAGTTGCTATGGAAACTAATTGCATCCATTAATAATTATCTGAATTTCAAAACTGTATCATTGGTGGTCAGCATCATTGGAGGAAGATTTGAAATGCCAGATTGGACCAAGAAAACCTGCAACAAACATTGTGAAGGAAGGCACCTCTGACCCAAGGCTCAAGCTACAGATGACCAGATGTCCAGTCTGTTTAAAATTGGCTAACTTGGATCATGATACGCTATATATGTGAAGATGTACTTTACCCTAGTTTAGATGTTTGCACGTACACACACATATTTGTCCTTATCTGTTATGATGCCCTGCAACTTTCAGAGAAACTTTGCAGCTGCCCTTGTCCCCATCCCTTTTTTTGTTATGTAGCGAGTTTCCAGTAATTATGTGTGTTGTGACCTTCATAAATATGGCTAGTTCTGCATTTCTTTTTGCATGTAGCTATTTCTCTATATAATCTGTAAGCTCTCCCAATTAGCAGAGGCGATGTTTTGATTCACAACCGTGTGTGTGTGTCTTATTGCTTCTCTGAGCACTCGTTAGACACCCATAACCTGCTGTATCATCAAAATGGGTATCTGAATTGAAAATGCTGGTCCAGGAGGAAGTGGAGCTGGACAAATATTTAGGGTTGGAGAGTGACTGGTCCCCGTAGGGCTATGGCTTTGGCGACTCAGGACTATTATGGGATAAACTGCAGGATGCTGAGCTGTTTATAGAAAGGGGGTACCCTTCTCTGTGGTACACAAAGATACACAGAGATATGGTGCCAATGCTTGATCATGCACCAGCCTTGATGTTTGACCTAGATTATCTGGTCAAATAAAAGTAGAGTCTGAAAAAAAGTTATAGGAAGCTACTGGAGACTGTGCAGCAGTATTCCCTGCAAGTGAAACAAAAAATGCTTGTTAATTTCCCAGCTGAAGTGCTGGCATCGGGACAGAGAGCTGCTGGTCTCTGCCCTCAACTTGCAGCAACACTGGAATTTGAGAGTGGGGAGTCTTTCATTGATGGAACTTGAGGGGTACACCACCGCCCCAGGTGAAGCGCTGGCATTGGGACAGAGCGCTGCTGGGCTCTGCCCTCAACTTTCAACGATGCCAGAAATTGAGAGTGGGGAGGACAGCCTTTTGGTGATGGTGGAGCTGGCAGAGTACACCACCGCCCCAGCTGAAGCACTGACATCTGGACAGAGCTCCGCTGGCCTCTGCCCCCAACTTGCAGCAACGCCGGAGCTGGAGAGCAAGGAGATCAACCTTCTGGTGAAGGTGGAGTTTCCAGGAGCGTGCAACTCCCCCAGATGAAGCACTGGCACCGAGGCCTCTGCCCAAACCCACTGGTAACCCACGAGCTTGATGCATCACATACAACTGGCCCCATAGAAAAGCAGATCCCAGGGCAAAGCACCGCTAACCTCATCCCTTCTCCAGAAGCACTGGGGGATCTCTATCCAGTACAGGTGGATGGGACTATGGTCTCTACCTGTGGTCCCCAGGTAGGCAGGACAGTGAGATCCGATCCCTAACCCCATGTTAGAGGGGGCCCAGCCACCCTGCCTTCCCTTCAGCGGCTGAGAGAGATCCAGGGAGATGGGAAAGTGGGCATGCATTGCCAGGTATATGCTTCGGTAGTTGAATAGGTCGGCTGGGTGAGTGCTGCTCTTGCATGGGCAATTTGTTTGGGGTACCAATTTGCTGAGGGCTTTGGTGGGCTGGATGTACTGACTAACTTCAGAGTCAACTCATCTGGGGTCTCCTGTATTCGTCTCCTTCTGAAGGGAGAGAAATATGCTGGAACCTATCCTGGGCTGGAGACATAGAGTTCCATATTTGCTATTGGGGTGTTTGGGTGTCATGGTGGCCCCCTGAGAGTGGAATCATATGAGGATAGGTTTGATTTTGGTAAGGGAGGACATGGCAGATTTACTGTGAACTCCCTTTCTCCACTTCCAGGCTCCCTCTTATGTCTAACTCATCCTGTACTTATTAGGGGCACAGAGTGATCAGGAAGCAGGGGAGGGCTGGCAGCCTTAGGCCTGGGGGGCAAAACCAGTCAAGTGGCCCATTGCACCACCAAATCTGTGCAATGGTGCCCACCTTTTCCTGGTTTTATAACGGATATTGATGTTATGCTAATCAGCAGCTCTTTGCCATACCCGCTCCTTCACGGCTCTGACTTTCAATGTTGTCAGAGCGCAGGCTGAGAATCTTTGAGCCTGTGCTCTGACTCACTAACTGAGCGCCGGAACCACGAGGGAGAGGCTATAATCTGACTGCACCTACTGCTGGTGCGCACCAGTGGACCACCAGCGAATCGTTTAAATTGAATAGGCTGGTGTCCCCAACTTGTGAACTGTGTTGTCCGCCGGGCGCCTCTGTTGTGATGGCACCCTGCGTGACCGCACAGCGTGCACACCCCAACGGCTGGTCCTGCTGACACACACTGATGTTACTACTTAGAAATCCCTCAATATTAATACAGACATCAGAGTAAACACCAATAAACTGTGGAAACAGAGCTGATCCCACCCAAATTTATAAAGATTTGCTTACTGGATTTGTTGTAAGATTAAATCATGCCTCCTCCTCTCTCTCTCCCATGCGCTGCTCTGTAAGCTGGGAGGAAGTGAAGAGTAATCACAATCTCCCAGCACTGTGGCACCTGTGGCTGCATGGGGAACAGCTGTATTTGCCGCCCCCCATGTGACATCACAATGCCCCACCTATATGAGCTGCCATACGAACTAACGCCAGTGCTGCCCACAGTGTGTGTTTACATTAAAAAGCCTGCAGGGACCGGCTATAGACACCAGAACCACTTCATTAAGCTCCAGTCGTTCTGGGGACTATAGTGTCCCTTTAATGTAATGTAAATTATAGATTAGTGTCACTAATAATATACTAGATTGCCTACTTACAACCAAATGAGGATGATGATGGGCTGCAGTTTGGCTCCACTGGTCTGGTGTAGAACAGGATCTCTGGAGGCTGTTTGCAACTGTGGTCACAAAATTCAATGTTCTGGGAGAATTGGAAGCAGCTCCATTTTTTGGGGGCCCCTTACACAGCTCAAGGTCTGGGCCCCAGGGCCTGACGGTGAGTATGCCCACAAGGCCCACTCATAAGTCCACTTATATGTTCCACCCACCCATGAGTTCGCTCACAGGGAGTGGAGTGTGTAGGGGATGTGTTATGTGTTATTGTAGAGGATCTAATATGTGTGCTTATGGTATGTAGTGTATAGGGATACCAGTTTGTGCAGGTGATGCAGTGTGTTTGTGTGTAGTGGAAGCAGTGTGTATTTGTGTATAAGGGATGTATTGTGTGTCTGTAAGTGTGTGCATTGAGTGTGTGCATTGTGTGTGTGTTAGTGATGCATTGTGTTTCTGTGTGTATGTAAGAAAAGCAGTGTGTGTGTAAGTGTTTGCATTATGTGTTTCTGTGTATGTGTGCAAAGGATGCATTGTCTTTGTGTGTAAGTGTTGCATTGTGTGCAGTGGCGGCTCTAGACTTTGTGAGGCCTTAGGCGAAACTCAAGCATGAGGCCCCCACTAACAACTAAAGTTAAAAATAGGGGTTGCATTGTGTGTATAAGGTGCTGTAGTTGTATTGAAGGGCAGGCTTGCAGTGCTGGATACAGAGAGCTAGTCTCTGTAT